AGCGAAACTCCGTCTCAAAAAAAAAAAAAAAAAAAGAAAAAATTGTTCTGTGCTCTCTGAAACAAATCCTCCCTGGTGGCCTCCAGGTCCCACACATAGGCCAGCAGGCGCTTGGGCTCCACTCTCCACTCGCAATCACCAGGTGTCCAGAGCACCCCGCTTGGGCCAAGTGGACATGCAGCCTCGGGGCCCACTCAGGGCCCACTCAGGGCCCAGAAGAAGCCGTCTGCGGGCACAGGCAGCGTGCAGGCACCACAGGTCCTACCCCAGGCTCAGCTTCCAGGTCCTGCCCAGGAGTCTCAGCTCAGGGAGAAGCAAGCCCAGGTGTGGCTGGGTGGGAGCGGCTGAGCTGGAGCCCTCACGCACCCACCCATCATCCGGGCCACACTCCTCTGGGCAGGGTCCACCACACCTGAGGCCTGGAGCCAGTGTCAGCAGTGACACGCCTCACATGAGGAGGAAGGTCCTGGCAGGGCCCAGCACAGATGCCGCCCAGGCTTGGGAAGGGAATGTGGGGATCCCAGGGGCACGGCTTTGAGAAAAGCGGTGAGGAGCGAGGGCTGGAGACGCCCCCTCCTGCCACATGAGAGTGCAATTCCCTGGATGCTCCCTGGTGCCCAACACGCTCAGGCAGACAAGGAGACCTATTAGTCACGAACCACAGAGCCAACGTTGCCCCCAAATCCAGACACACCACAGGCAGCTGCTGAGGGGCAGATTCTAGTGAGTTCTTAAGGAATTAAACCATCGTCAAGAGAATGAGGCTTCTTTCCTCTAAACTGAGACCCCCTACAGGAGACAATATTGAAACTCCCCATCTGCCCGACACCCGTGGGCATATTCCACCATGGACAGAGTGTCTGCTGACAGATTCCGAAGACACAGGAGCTGGCAGAGCCATGGTCTCCACCCCTCCTGCGGGTCCCGGAATTCCTGATCTGGCCACTGCCTTGGTGACAGCAGCCGCTCTGCTGCGGGAGCAGGGCCTCCTGTGAGGCCTGTGGTGTGGTGACGTGTGGCTCATGCAGGCCCCACAGCAGGCCAGTTCTTCAGCACTCAGCCGCTGAGTAAATCCTTGTGAGGCCCGACTAACTTCTCTCATCAAACCGGAAGAAAAACCACCTTACAGCAGAAAGCAACAGAAGGAGCCGCTCCTTGAGGCTACGCCCCCAGTCCCTCAGCAGCACAGAAGTGGTGCGGGCGCACCTGTTCCCACGGGGTGTCTCCACTGCGAGGTTCCATCCCGTCAGGCCTCCTGCTTTGGCAGCTTGGCCAGAGCCGGCCACTCCTCTACCCTCGTGGGGGCCCGTCCAGCCTGGCCCTCACGTGTAGCAAGACACAGACCTGCAGGCGCAGGTCCACTGTGGCTGGAGTTCCTTCTAACGAAAACTTCTTCTGTGCCAAGGATGGAATTCAGGACCACATGCTCAGCTGACGTCTGTCTGCGTCAGAGTGAATGCACCGAAACCACGAGGCTTGGACGTGGCCCCAGCCTGCCAGTCTGAGCCCCGGGGC